GAGCCTTATTAGGTTATTTTTGACAGTTGCAGGAGTTTACTCTCCAAATAAAGTATTTTAGCCCCCAGAGAACCGGACACACCTATACATGGGTGGTATCACTGTACTCAGGAGATGTTGCTGAACACATATTGGGGTGGGGCTTTGTCCGTAACACATAACAGGAACTGATAATCAATATAAAAAATAGGCTGTGTATCATATTTTTCGTAGATAAATAATTTTAGATTTATTGACTGAAGGTATCTACACGTGGCGTTAGTTATTTATGGAAAAGTTCTTTTACAGAGGCTTGTTGCTATGGAGGTCAACAGGTATTCTTTTCGGATCGTTGAACCTTAGAATCCCTTTTGAAATCCATTAACTGTATCCTTTAAACCAGTGGAAATCAACTAATGCCTTCAGGAGAGAGATTTTACTGCCAGCGACAATGATCTCATCATTGACATTGATTGAAAGCACAATATATTGCACAGACAAACATTAACACTCAGTTGTATTGAATGCCATGCTTTAGAATGATAGAACAAGAGAATTTTTCTGAAGGACATTAGGGACAGATGGTATTAGCATTGATTCACTTAAAAAAAAAACTACAATGTAAATAAAATAAAAGTAAAATACAAAACTCAAGTGAAGGTTGTTCACTTGACAAAGAATCATGGAGAACGAGCATGTGATTTGAAAATTACTAGATTTTACTAATTTCATGACGTAAAGTCATGATTTTATTAAGGACACGGAGGTGAGTATAATGCTTATTCTCTTTCTTTTTATTCCTCAGCAGCAAAAATATTTATTTTATAGAAACAAATCAAACATGTAAACATGCACCCAATGGGTTAATCATATAACAGTACAACCAATCATAATGCCTTCAGCACCATCAACTCCCCATGTGACCTTTCTTGGTGTTGTCGACGAAGAATCCACAGCAGAACATATGTCAACTTGAAGGAACAAAATGCCAAGAACGCCACGGAGAAGAATCTGGTACTCTTCAGAAGCTGAGATCTTCCCGTAAGTCCTGAAGGAACCCGTGCACAACGGTGCCAAAACCATTCATGAAGCTGAAAGGAACAGAGAAACAAACTGGTAAAATATGTTTCTGGACATCTGATCATTACCATAGTACAGAATTAAGCATCGGAACATATGCCACCAATAAGAGATTATCATCTAACCGAACCTTTCAATACACGCAATGTGCTGTAGTAACCTAAATCCGTAGTAACTTAATGACCACACATCCATGGGAGGGCGCCACTTACCTGCATCAGGTGGGATAATACTTGCCTCTGTGTCCTTAATAAAATCATGACTTTACGTCATGAAATTAGTAAAATCTGGTCATTTTATTAAAGGACACGGAGGCTCATATTATGCTAGTTCAAAGCTGTGAAACAACCACATCAGAAAAATGAGAAATTGGCCGAAAATAAAACTCCTTGAAGGTAGATTCGTGGGACCAATCCTTTGGAGAAAGTCTTAGCTGCCATGGCTCCCCTGACCGAGTGTGCTCCATACACTGAAGTGTCGATGTCCGCTGATGCCATAATCCATTTGACCCAACGAGACAATGTGACTGCCAAAACAGGGTGATATGGATGACGAAGGGCCAAGAAAAACTCCGGATATGTAGGGTCACGAGTTGAAGAAGTCTTGGACTCGTATTCCTTGAGACATGCCACTGGACATAGCTTAGAGTTTTGTGGAAAGGCCGGGTAGAAAACTGAGGTGATTGACGTCTTCATACGCCTGGATATATTAAACGAGACACATTCGGGGGTGAATGAATGTGCAGAGAGGTCCAACGCATGCACATCGGACACCCGTTTACAGGAGATCAAACAAAACAACATCACCAACTTTGCTGTGAGTTGTTTCAGTGAGAGATCTTCGTTCTTTGGCCAGTCTCCCAGAAGCAAGGTCAACATCCCATGATGAAGAGTACCTAGGTTGCGGTGGACGTGCAAATCTAATGCCGTGCAGGAGTCGGCATACGAGGAGATGTTTACCTGCCGGGGAACTATCCAATCCTTGATGTCCTGCAGAAATAGCCGATCGGTACACATTTATCGTGCGATAGGCTAGGCCATGGTCAAACAGAGAAGTGAGAAATCTCAAAACGTGACTTACAGGTGCAGATAAGGGATCCATGTGTTGTTCCATGCACCAACCACTCCATGAATTTCAGGCATGTATGTAGGATTTCCTTGTCCCCGGAGCCCAAGCTCCCGCCAGATGGTCAATAGTTGTCTGTGGAACATCTGGGATGAATCCAAGTCCCCGGAGAGGAGCCATGCCAGTAACTGGAGGTGTCCCTGTAATAGCAGGGAGTGTGGTTCCCCGTTGGGGTCCAATAAGGGGTCCGGAGAGGTTGGAAGTAGTCTTGGGTAGTCCATGGACATTTCCATGAGTGTAGGGAACCATGGTTGAGCCGTTCAGAATGGGGCTATAAGAATCATGGAGGTTAGGTAGTGTCTCAGATGTAGAAGCGTCCTCGCAATCAAGGCGAAAGGGGGGAAAGCGTACATTCGCATGTCCGGCCACCGTTGAAGGAATGCGTCTGATGCCACGCCTCTGGATCAGGTCTCCAACTGAAGAACTTCAGTAGTTGGGAGTTCAACCGTGATGCGAAAAGGTCGATCTCCAGTGGGCCCCAGAGTGACTGGAGTCGCAGGAAAATGGCCCGCTTCAGTCGCCAGTCGCTGGCATCCTGTTGGTATCTCGAATTCCAATCCGCCACCATATTGGACATCCCGGGAAAGTATTACGCCTGAACCGAAATATTGCGATCCAGGCAGAAGTGCCAGAAGTCCTTTGCTAGTTCCGCTAACACCACGGACCTCATACCCCTGAGATGGTTGATGTAGCGGACTGCTGACACGTTGTCCATCCATAAAGAATGGAACAGTTGGTTGAGATACCTACGAGACTCCAAGCTGCAAATGACCCCGCCAATAGTTCGAGGCAATTGATGTGTAACTCCTGTTCGTTTGGGGACCATTTCCCTCTGGTGGAGATAGGACCGCAACGCGCGCCCCAGCCCAGCATACTTGCATCTGATTCCACGACAAAGTCTGGCCTCGTCCCAAAGATTGCTCTTCCGTTTCATGCTTCCATGTGCTGCGGCCACCAAGAGAGTTCTTCTTTGGCTGCGCAATTGAGAGGCAAAGAGTCTGAATAAGAGAGACCCGAGCAAAGGTATTTTGCCTTTAGGCGTTGAAGGGCCCTGTAGTGAAGTGGGCCCGGGAAAATGGCCTGGATGGAGGCAGAGAGAAGGCCGATGACCCTGGCCAGTTGTCGTAGTGTTAGCGCAGGTCGAGCCAACGTCCAGCGGATTTCTTTCTTGATGATCCTGACTTTGGATGATGGTAACAGAAGTGTCCCTTCCACCGAATCGATGGTGAAGCCCAGGAATTCCAAGATTTGGGAGGGTTGTAACACCGACTTGTCCCAGTTAATGAGGAAACCAAGGTTGCCGAGTAATGTCTTTGTCCAATTCAGGTGTTCTTGGAGTAAGCATGGGTCTTGTGCTATCAGAAGCATGTCGTCCAAGTATATAATCAGACGCACCCCTCTGCTGTGCAAGAGAGCGACCACTGGCCGCATGAGCTTTGTGAAGCACCACGGGGCCGAGGAGAGGCCGAAGGGCAAGCATTTGAAACGCCATGTGGTCTCCTCCCATCGGAAATGGAGGAAATGTTGGCAATCCTCGGCCATCGGGACGGTGAGGTACGCATCTTGCAGGTCGAGTTTTACCATCCAATCCTCCAATAGGAGCAGGTCTCGGAGAAAGTGGATGCCCTCCATTTTGAAGTGGTAGTACGCTACAAAGGCATAAGTTGATGACTGGTCGGACACCTCCGCCTTTCTTGGGCACTACGAAAAGGTTGCTTAGAAAACCTGAAACTCTCGGATGCGTCTCTATGATTGCACCTTTGTTGGCAAGAGACTGTATCTCCGCTGCGATTAATGCTTTGTCGTGGGTGGAGGAGACTATATGTCTGGGAAGAGATATTTGGGCAGGTGTTTGTACAAATTCTATGGCATAACCCACTACAGTTTGTAGGACCCAAGTATCCAAAGTCAACATGCACCAGGCATCTATAAAGTGGCATAACCTGCCCCCCACCAACGTTACTGAAGGTAGTGATGAAGGAAGTGAACTTACCATAAGGACGTCAGCCATAGGAAGAGCCTCTGGATCCACGAGCCTGCCAGGGTCTTCCTCGAACTGGGAAGAATGGAGAGGACTTGGGTTCCGTACCCTGGTAATGTGACTGGAAGGAGCCACTAGAAACCCAGTATGAGTCCCGGGAGGAACGGCCGGGCAGACGGCCCCGATATCTGCCGGCCCCACCAAAAACTCTATGGGAGAATACCTTTTTCATATTGGCTTACGCTTTGTTCAATGCAGTAAATGTGCCCACATAGGTACCCAGCTCCTTCACAAAACTGTCCCCAAAAAGAAGGCCTTTGGCCTGTGGCCCAGGCTCAGTAATAGCCAAGGTAACTAGCTTTGGCTCAATCTTTCGTCTCTCCATGGCTAGAGCCACGTTGGCATTTCCAAGAAGACATATGGCTCGCTGTATCCAGCCCCTGATAGCTAGCAGGTCTGCAGGAGCACCACCTGCCAATGACATTTCAACCATGTCAAATATCTTTGCACTGGGTCCGAGGACATCCAGTACCTTATCCTGGCAATGGTGAAGTACAAAGTCTAGACCTTTCTTTGCCTTCCATCCAGTTTTTCCTAGGAACTGGGCAATCTTAGGGTCCACTACAGGAGCGATACATATCAAATCTAGGAGCGTGAGGCATGGGCATTCTGCCCGCATCTTGCTTCATGCCACCTTATCAAGGGGTTTCCTGATCCTTGTGGCAACATATTTTG